CCTCCCAAAGAATGTGGTGGGAGGCAATGAAAGACAACCTGTTGTCTTCACCTCGTCAGGCCCTTGTCTTGGGTTCCAGTGTTCAGTTTCTGCAGTTTTTTGTATGCATAGGTGTGCAGTTCTGACCACTTTGGAGGGCTCAGCTAGGATTTCTCAATAGTGAATTCAGTAATCGCAGCTTAACTTGTATGCGTGCATATGAGTGAAACCCATGGACACAGACAGTAGTGGGGGTGAGGGTGGCGGGGGGAGAGGTCAATGGGGGGAAAACAAGAGACTCATGTAATACTTTAAGCAATAAAGAACTTTAAAAAAGAAGAGTTTGTAAAGAAAGCCCCTTAAAATCAGGTGCGCCCCATCCCGTGTAGCCATGTAGAATGTCCTCAGATACTGAAATGTTCAACCTGGCTTGTAAGCATGTCTTCTGATTTTAAATTTTCAATTTTGCATCTTCGATATTTGTGAGGATTTGTCTTGGGACTTTCAAAAATCTCCAACTTGTCCTCTAGTGTCGTCAGCTTCCCCACTTTCTCCCAGATCACATTTCCATTGAATCTCATGTCCTCTATATGTCCGCACTGTCTCTCAATCACCTCTCCAACTTTCACATGAGCAGCTTTTCCATCCACTGGAGCCTCTGTACAAGGCTTACCCAGGAAACTGGGACTGTTACTATAAATTCACACCAGCTAGTGGTTTCTGTAGTTTTCTTCACATCTTGGAACCGAAATTCTATTCTTGAAATCCAGCCTCTTCTAGAAACGACCTTCTGCATGCGTTTCCCTTGCATCACAAGCAATTCATCTGGGTTATTTCTATCCTCTGGCTCCATTACCCCTCCCCCAATATCCTATGGTTTTACAAGTTATTGTGCTGATAGGAAGAGACTGTCACACTGGGTGAGGAAACGCGAGTCTGGGGAGTGGCCGAACCTACTAGCTAACGACTTGGACATCGCAGCCCTGGGCCCACATCTGCGCTTCAGTAAAATGACAAGCCCTCACACTTGGACACTCAGATGGCTCAGGTATTGTCTAAGTCACAAATGCTTAATTCATAAATGCCGAGTGTATTTCTAATATTTTGTGTAGTTGAAGTAGGGCACAGCCCCCAGGAAATGTTGCTAGGCCTGGGATTATTTGTGGTGTGCCTCTGGTCTCTGAGTTGACCTCTAGACGATTGCTGAACAGCTTCAAACAGCTCTTAAGCTAAAATCCAGACAGAATCAGGAAGAGCAGACTTGGACTTTTGTAGTGCATTTTACTATTTGATTAGCTTCCTGGGGGAACCAGCAGCAGGTGTTAAATGTAAACCTGACTAAAGATATATCAGCTCTGATGCCCCAGCTAAGCAGATCTGTAAATCTTGTCTTTTATAAACTGGTTTAGCAAAACTTCCTGTTATCTTAAGCTTGCCCTTTAAATAAAGGGAAAGCCTAGAGCCCCAGCAGTCTCGTGGGTGCAGCCTGTGAACCTGCAGCCAAGGTGGCTGCCAGCCTGGCTGCTGTTCATGTTGCCTTCTGTGACCACTTCTCTCTCACTCCCTAATTCACCCCTGACTTCTCTAATACTCCTATCGGTCTATGTTGTGTGCTTGGTACATATCTGCCACCTTAGAAAAACCTCCTTGGAGCAGTTTGAGCAACTTGTCTCTTTCAGCCTGCCCCCTCTGCACCACAGAAGTCACAGGCTGTCCTCCTGTCATCTGGGTCCTTTAAAAAAGGAAATGTGTGCACGTTCTACCAGAAGTGACTAGAAAACCTGTTCCTTCAGGGAACTGCACAATTAAAGCTGTACAGAGGAGAAGCGATCATTTTCCATTCACTTCCTGTGTTGGGGGAGAGCAGCCCTTAACCAACACTAGACTGAGAATGGGAAATGGATGACTTGCTACTAGCCAGCCCAAGTGCTGTGGTAAAAAATAACCACAGAGCCTAAGAATAACTGCTTACAACCCTTCAAGGGGCAAACTAGTTATAAAATTAGTTTATGAAAAGTAGTGACTAGGCTGCCCTCATATTTCAAAGCATCAGAAATTTCAGTCTTCCTGGCTACAAGCTGGTTGAAACTAGGGATGGGTACATAGAGTTTGTTATGCTGCTGTACCTCTACAAGTGTCTGAAATATTCCACAACAAAAATATGCCATTTTCTTATAATTTTCCAACCCTCACATCCACCATCTAGAAATAGGCTCCATCACACGGGTTCTGTCAGCCAGAACTAGAAATAGGACGGCCCACCTTCTTTTTCCTTTCACTCAAGGGGAAACTGGAAGCTCACATTTTCTTTCCCCTTAGCTAAACGCAGGGCTTGCTGCCCCACTGCCAAGGAAGCCCATAGCTAACAATTTGTGGCCATGACTCAGTCCCAGCTACTAGTTTCTGGCTTGCTGAAAAATATGGCCTATCTCAATGGGAACTCCTATCGGGCACTGGGGCTGCTATGCTCAGGTATCACGACAGATGTAGACAAGACTTGTAGGAATGGTTTGATGGTCCCAAAATAGAATGCTATTTGCCTCGCAAAGTCAACTGGAAGGAAAGGTCTGATAACTTCCTAGGGCTGTGTAACACTTGTATTGGGTTCTGCCATTGGCGGAGTTGGCATAAAGGCTGGAGCTTCAGCTGCTGCTGCAAAAGCTTTTCCAGTCCGTCTTCTACAGATGTGAAAGCAGCTGCATTTAAACATGTGAGGGATTGTCCGTCACTGCCTTCTGTAAGGTGGTTCTGTCTTACTAAAGGCCAGCTATGCTCTTCTGGGGCCGGACACAGTCATCTCCCTCCACTTCTTCACGCTGCTGATCCCATTCATCTTCTTTAGAGCACAGGTTTCTGCTTTGACTTAGGATCCACAGGAGTTAGGGGCTGAGCTTGGAATTCAAAAACACAAGATTGTAGAATATTTCGCTCAAGTAAAGATTCCCTTGTCTCCCATGTTTTGGGCCTTAGCTAAGGAGAAAAGGAAGGGCTTGAGTGAGACACTTCTTTTCCGCACCCCATTTTAGCCAGTGCGGCCAGGCCTGGTTCTTCTGTCAGGAAGATCTTGGATAGAACTAAGATTAGAACCCATGTCATCTTTCTCTTAATATCACCAATGTTAGAAGCTTCTACTCACATGCCTCACGAGGGAATAATGAAAGGGCTAACCCAGAAGTGTTCTTAACTCTTAAGGACAATAACCTAGCCTCCGTGTTTGGCCAGCTCTTCCTTCCTCTGGCACAGTATTCCTGAGTTGTATCTTCTTTCAGCCCAGGTTCATTACCTTCTTGACATCTAAGCAAAGGTGTTGTTAGGCCATGAAATTTCATTGTGAATAAGCAGAGATTTGGCAAGACACATCACTAGAGAAAAGTATGCTTTAAAAACACAGCATGCTCTATTTGACTACTGAGGGAGGCATCATTACTTGAAAGAAAAATGAGCTATAAAAGCAGTAAAACAGCTTCTAGCCACAGTGCATATTTGCAGTGACATACCCACCATGCCCAGGAAGGTGCTGGTACAGTCCACACGATTCCAGGGCATGAATAAGATCCTAAGTGTATGCATGGGTTGCATCCCTCATTCCCTGTATCTGGTAGTTGTGTCTGTAAACATACTGGCACACGTCATGACACCATCAGGTGGATACCATGGTATGGAGGTAGGGGAGAGAGATCTCGTGTAGGCCTTCCAGATCCTGAGCTCATGGCTTATTTATCTTCCCTGGTTCTCTTATCGTTAGTGAGAAACTTGAGGAAGAAAAGATATTACCAGATTCCAGTGGCCTCCTTTCTACACTCATTTAGATAAGCTGAAATGGGAGAATGTTTGCAATTAAAGACTCCATGTATACTCTGGAAAAACTGGCAGCCTTCCAAAGGATTGCTTTACACAAATGGGGGGGGGGCGGGGGGGCGGGAGACACTGACCTAAGTTTTTGGGTCAGTGCAGAAAAACTTCAATTGTCTGGTAAGTTTTAAGAGGCTACTTTTTCCCTGACAGCTGAGTGGTTTCTGATCAAACACTTGACCTCACTTTCACATTGGATGTGCTGGGCTTTTAAAGAAGCAACCAATTATCCGTAAGAGCAGGACTCCTTTAAACAAACAACCCACCAGTAGATATTTGTTTCCATCATTCACATTCTTCCAGCCTTAGACATAAAGAAGTCCCATAAAATCCCTCCAGTGATTAAGAACTTATAGGTTCTCCTAAGGAAGCAATGCTACTTAAAACAGCTCCTTAAAGGACAACTAGTGGTTGAATTTCAATAACCTTTAAAACCTAACTCCTAGAAAGTAAATAGTTTATAAATAACTAAATTTTTAAAAACTAAATTTTTAAAAATATCAAGACTTTATTGGATGTTACACAACATTCTTTTAACATTTATGTCTCAGCATACTTTAGATGAGAAATTTGTCATTCAAGTCTACAAAATGAAATAGGCTTCTGAAGATTTGAAATACAAAGGTAGCATGAAGCATAGCTTAAATATTAAGCAACTAAAGCAATGAAAGTGAAATAGCAACATGGTATGTCCTAGATTTTAAATACCAAGTTTCATTTTTTTTAAATGAAAAATCTGGTTTATAACAAAACATCTTTTGAGAATTTATCATGAGAAAAAATAGGTCCTTAAAGCCTGATCTCTCAATTTTTTTGCCTTTTATCATTTCCATCACTCTGCACAAATAATGCTAAAGCTTACTTAAAACTCTTGATTATACAACTCACATGACATGAGTTGTCTGGTTCTTGAAGGGAGTTTGGAAGGTACTGCTGGTGGTAATACAGCTAAAGACAAGATGGGCAGAGAGTCTGGTGCCACTGAGGCCTGTAATCTTTAGACTCCCTGCTGGCATAGTTCCTGAGCTTTTTCAGATTTCATCATATGTATAATGACTTCATGATAAATACTTTCCAAAAAAGACAATTTTAGAATGCAATCACAACTTTTAATTACTTACAGTGTAATTAGGATTTGTATTCAACTCACAGAAATGAGAGTGCCTACCTTTTCTTCTTTGAGTTGTGAAACAAGTCCTTAGTCAGGTATATTAAATGTTCTAAAACTCCCCCCAGAACCTTTTATTAATCCTGAGTGTGGAGTTAAGTAATTCCAAACCTATACAGTAAGATTATGGAAAGTTTGAACACTTAAGCCAAATGCTCAGTTATGTTGCTTCAAATGAATTGTTTTTTGGCTTTTTTTTTTTTTTGTATTAAGTAATCAATAAGGATTATCTTTCAGGTTTAAAAAATAAATTGGTATTGCCACTAAAAAACTTCAGTATTTATTATTAAAAGTACGGCACCATCAAATATAAAATACCTTAAAAATGTAGCACTAACAGGTCAATCTGGTTATCTCTGCTCATTAAAAAAGAAAAATTAAGGGTTCTTTTTATAATACGTATTTTCCAAAGGTAAGAATTCATGAAAAGCCTGACACCATCTTTTATGGGTCTGTTTCTGCTGCCAGTTCCCCAGGCACAAGCCCCACCTGACACCTGTAAGAATTTCTTGCACTTACACAGAAAGAGGAGCTCTCTGGGGGGAGAGCGCCACATCAGAATTCAGATTTTTCACCTTTTGGGATCTAAATAAAATTAATAACGATAGGAAGAGTAAATGCCTTTTCAGCTCAGTAGATTTCAGAACTAGATCTCAGAATATACATCACTCTGAGATCAACACTAGCCTATCTACTCTGACTCATAATTTAAAAGTTAAGAATGGGGTTATGAAAATGTGCACAAAATGTTAAAATACTGGTGGCAAATAAATACATCTTAATATGTATTAAGGTAATACAGCCCTGCTTTATGAAAGAAAGGTCCAAATTTTCAGGGTGAGTGGGGTGGGGGTACCTTACCATCCTTTTAGGATGATGTTAAATCTTTCCTGTCGTTTCCAGGGGCACCCTGAAGGGAAACACTGGCCTCAGCACATGTGACCACTGGTTTCACAGGCGAGTCATTTTAGAAATACCTTTGCTCATATCTGAACTGAGTAACATAAACCTTGGAGAAAGAACAAAGTTTTAGTATGAAAGATAATTCAACATTTCTGCCATCATCCCATGCCTTTTAGGTCTGTCCAAACTCCTGAAAAGAACTTCACAATCAAAAGAACTGTCTTCGCACATAAAATGAGTTCTTGTGTGCGTATTTCACATCACTTTTCTCCTCATCTCATGCATAATTTATTGCAATAGTTTAGTTTGTTTTAGAAAACATTCCCCTAATACCTTTTCTTCTGTTTACTACAGCACAATTTACAGGTGCCCTTTAGAGACTGTTGGTTTTAACCACTGCCTGAACATTTACTTCTTAGTGCAGCTTTAAAAATCTGAGTCTCCAATTTCATTCAATCCTGGTGCTCTGGTGTTCTCTGTGTCACTGTGGTACAGGTCCACGAAACCAGCAGCCTGCTAATGTCTTTGTGCTGAAATATAGTAAAGAAAAGGAAGAAAATGTAGTTAAGCACAAGTAATTATATAAGAAAAGTGATGTCCTTGTTTAATTAAGCCCTATATAGATTGTGAGATCACAACTGATTTTTTTTCTTTAAAATCAGTTAAACTTGACCAAACAACTTACTGCCACTCTAAACCAGCAGAAGCATTCGTGTTCTTTCCAACAGAAATAAAATGGTTGTCATCTTCACATTATCAATCTGCACTTGAAAATTTCTAAAGAAAGGGAACTGTAGCTTTGTTCTTTACACTGCATTTCACAGGTTACAACACGAAGCTTTGTGAGCCAGCTTAGCTGCTGTGAAGCACCAGCAGCCTGGCTTTAGCACAGGCTACCTGCAGACCTTAGAATCATTTATATACAAAACTTGGCTATGTCAAAGTCCGCTGCAGATCACACTGTCCACACATGTACCAAGAGCAAAAAAGAGGAGGGTGGGGGGTGACTCCCCAGAGGTAGACACGAACATCAGAGGCATCAAAAGAGCACCATTTTGTCCTAGAAGACAACTTGTACACACTGGTTAGACTGACCAGTCCTCCTACAAAAAGCAGGACTCTGAACAGAACATTAGAAAGGACAAGGCTTATGAAAATTACTACCAATACCATAACCAGAATGCCTAACATTCCAACCTGCCTTTAATACCAGAAGTGGAAAAAACCCCACTGAAATCCTCTACAATCCCCAGTATCAATAGGAGTTTGACTTCCAAAAGAGGTGATCTGTGGAGAGAACAATGAGTTTTTTGGTCAAACGTATTTTTAAACCAAAGATGTGGTATTTTCAGTGTGATAACAGACAAAACAAATACAGAATGCAAAAATAAAAGAAAAATCCCCATTCTTCCCAATATTTAACTTCCAAACATTTCACAGTAGATGTCTTTCCCACTCTTAACATGGAGAAAGAGTTCTGGTAAATTTCCAACGGTTGCCATGCTTCATTCACTTACTGGATCAAAGCCTATAAATAAATCCCACAGGGCATTCTATCTTCCTAAGCAATGAAAAATTACTTCTAGCCATAAACACAGCACACATCAGAGTGGAAGGTGGGTGTAGTCCTTGCTTCTAAAGAACCAGAATGATTAACACTTAAAATTTCACATTCAGCTAAGAGCAGTGTTTATTTTCTAAAACTAAGATATTATACTAATGTAATAATAAATATTCAGAATTATACTAATACTCAGAACTTTGGTAGTAAATATCCTTTATAAATTTAAGGAGAAAAATAGTAACTAGCGAATCCCATGTACATTTCCATTTCCTATTTATAACTGTCAATAATTGGCTTCAATCTGAGTGAGGCCTATTCAAGTTGGCAGGAAAGTCAAGGATTGTAGCAGATCTTACTATTCACATGACAGATGCAGAATAAAAACAAAGACGCTATTCCCTCAAGAGATCATTTTAAGGTAGCTGCCACCCCTATACAGGTAAGAGTCCATAATTTCCCAGCCTCAACCTCTCATCCAAAATGTGCCATTCTGACCCAGCTTGCACATTACAGCTCATGCAGCAATACAGCCCAACAAATAGCCTTAATTCAGGAAAACAAAAAAAAGATCACAAATTCAAAAGCAGCACAACGGAATCCCGAAACCTTTCCTCCTGTTTAAGAGACCAAAATAAGCCTTTCAGGCATTATCCAAAGTTTTCATAAATGTGCTTAAATAAATTAAAACTACACTGCCACACTCTTTCCACCCACTGAGTTGTAAATGACAGTTTTGAGATTAACTCACTAAGAATATATATGAACATATATATATTCTTATATATACAGTAAGAAGAAATGACTACAAAATTAAAGTAATGAATATAAAAGTGAGAAAGAAAGGTTGAGATAGTGAAAAGATAAAGGAATCCACTATTTGACCATCCACGGAGGCTCAGTTGCTATCTGGCATAATTCTACAATCTGACACCCAACTTCTACCACCATAGGAAAAATTCCTCTCAATTCATGGAAGCTCGAAGGAGGCTGGCTCTACTTTTTAGCACAGCAGGTAACACGAAATGAAAAGTTATTTTGACTCATTAAAACGATCGCCTACATGAGGGATACGCAGCTACCAATGAAAAGCTAAGGAAAAAGAACTAATGAATTTTTACATCTAGCCTCATCTACTTTGGAAATGATCAAGTGATGACATGGTGCCCTCTTCACTCTGGCAGAGCTGAACACAGACAGACCTGCCCGTCTCACTGTTAACGTCAATGCTCCCAGTCTGAATCCACAGTGGTCTGTCAGACACTGTAAGGGAGCAGCAGGATTCGTCACTGTCTGATGTAATAGCTGCCATTTGTTGAGACCTATGGTAGAAAAAACCAAGTTAACAAAAGTAGAGAAGTCATTGAGTTCTTTTTAATCCATTTTACAAAAAAAAAAAATTTTAAATATGACCAAAATTCAGTGGAATTTTCATAATGAATTTATTCTACATAACTTACTGGCTTCACAAAATGTGAAGCTTTGGTTGTAAACCAAGGAAAACAGAGGAGGTGTATACACACCAGCCTTAGCCAGGCGAGGGCACTCTCCGGCCCAAGTCAATTCAGCAGCAAACTGCCTTCAGGCACAACCAAGATGCTGCCCTCCAATGCTAACTTGCACTTAACGTTCCTGACAAAAATTTTACTAGCCTAGTATTGGAATAGTCTTGGAATAGTCCTGATCTTAGCATTCAACAAGGGCTGAAGTCTCCATCCCTACCACATCACAACATTAATGAGACCCTGTTTTGCAGAATGACCAAAACGTGCCTAAATCCCTTTCTCCTTTAATGCCAATGACCACTTGTGCATACTATTCAGGGACCTGAATCAATGACTCAATATCTGCTTAACACAAGTTTAACAAGATAGTATTCGAAGTCTCTGTTCTGAATGCCTAAGTGAGAAAGCTTCAAAAGAAAGATTGCTATTTCAAGCCTTATTTTTTAACACAGTAGTATTTGCTTGTCTGCTTAATTCCCTACTTTAAGTATTAACAGATCATTTATCAAATCACTATAGTTAACTCTGGGGTCACTGAGTTAGAGAATGTTTGGTCCTTACAATATTTTTTAAATGCTAACTTAAACCAGAACCAGTAACATATCAAAACTTTTAAAAAGGCTTTTCTGACATTGAAAAGGATAAATTTTATACACCTAATCTATAAACATAATTCTGAATTTTAACAGAACTATTTCCTTAAATGAGGCTTAACAATGAGATTTTTACCCTTTTGTTCACAGGAAAACTTAAATATACTACTACAACCCAACAGCAGTCACACCAAGAAGAAAAAGAATCTGAATGCACAAGAGAATTTCTTTTCAACCTCTCCCTCCATAAGTAACAGCTTTTAGGTTTGAACAATCATTCTAAAGAACCTCCTATTCCATTCTAGGCCAAAGTCAAGAATCTGCATCAAAGAATGACCATCTTTTCCTGTGCATTGCTACTCCCCCTCCACCCCCACCCCCCCCACACACATAGGTTTTTGGGGTCTCAAGGTTCTTTAGATATTGACCACACCTACAAGATCCATTAGACAAAGCCAGGGAGCCCTGACTGTGATACAGTAAATGGAGGGACACCCTCCTGAAAGCCATTTTATTGGAATTACTTATTTTGTTCATTAAGTCAAAGCTTATATGCGACAATGTAAGGCAACCGTTCCTGGGAGGCAGCAGAGATAAAAGGACAACTCAGAACAGGGTAAGTAAACACTCGTCTCCTTTTTGGATGCATGAAAGAAGGAAGCAGAGGAGGTCACACTCTTAGAGCAAAGCCCAGAATGAAAAACTAAAGAATTAAGATTATGTACATGCACCTATCATCTTGCTGAGCACTCAACATGAATTTTCTCTTAACACTTTAAGCGCCAAGCCTGTTTTGTCTTCCTTTCCGTTTAGCCCACGTTACCCGATTTCACGATGTGCTGGCGGCACCAGTGACTGACCGGTCCGGTGGAAAGTATAGTGTCAGTCACCAGTGACTGACACGACTTAACGTGTTAATACAATTTAGCATGCTGCAACATGAACAAACAGATAAAAGCATCAACACAACAGACATTCTGGCATCTAGGCTTAGTATTTTTCTAACCAGAACATTAGGAGTCACACCTAGATGTGCTACTCCCAGCCAGATTTCCTTCGAAAAGCTAAATTGTGGAGGAAAATCAGTTTTGTAATCAGCATCTCAAAAATGAGCCATGAGTAAAAATGACTACACTCCAGAGAATGTGGCCACGGATCAAGACCTTGGAATGTGAAGTATTTCCCTCCTAGAAAGGGGAAACAGCTCTTACTAAATCATACCAACAGCAATAAAAAAAAATGAGGTGGGGGGGGGGGGGAATGAGAGGAAACATTCAAATTCATGTCCACTTTTCACCATTCCACAAAATATTAAAATAATGAAACACCATGGTCCCAGGGGAAAACAGCATCTGTGCAAATCAGCTAGTTTACAGTACCCAGAGCTGACAAGGGTAGCTTTGTGGTTCTAATACTTTTGGAAAACTATCCTAGGAGGACCTCTACTCTGCTGAGCCCCACCTGCTCATTCAAGCCTCTCTGAAAGGATGTGGGAAATGCCAGGCTTCTGAAATGGTGACTAGTCCTTAGTACACATCAGTGTCTGAACAAGAATCCCTCTTCCTCACTCACAAGTGGACTATCATCTCTGCTATGTCAGGCCCTGTGCTTGGCATAAAAGAGGAGAAAACCCGCAAGTAATAGACTCCTGGGATTTATGTGATCCGCAAATGAATGGGGCAAGTGTTGAAATGTTAATACACTTCTCCCTTCACCATAAGTCCCATGACCTCCAACCCAGCAGCCCTCCACATGCCTGCTGGAAATAATTCATACCTACTTATAGATATCTGTGGATGATTACACTATGATTATTGTTATTTTCATATAATGTTGCTATAACATTTCTTTCATTTATAGTCAGTATGTTGCAGGATATCAAAAGTTACCTGAGCTCTGACTGGTGTTTCTCAGGGGTTAGAGTGTCAGCACAAGCACCAAAGGGTCTCAGGTTCAATTCTCAGTCAAGGGCAATTACCTGGGTTGCAGGTTTGAACCCTGCCCCAGTCAGGGTGCGTGCAGGAGGTAATCAATGCGTTTCTCTGACATGTGATTTTTCTCTTTCTCCCCCTTCCCTTTTGCTCTCTAAAAATCAATAGAAAAAATATCCTCAGTTGAGGATTAACAAAAAAACAAACTACCTGAAAGGAATTTCTATCCCATTCACAGAAAGTGGTGGTTATGGTAATGACAGCAAGTATTTACATAGGTCTTCTACCAGGCAGTTTATTGGTTTAATGAGGAATTACATTATGAGGAAGTGCTATTATTTTCCGTTTCACAGGCAATGACATTGAGTACCCTGCCTAAGATTACACAGCTTGTGACAGACCCAAGGCAGCCTTTGCATCTAGGAAATCTGGCTCAAGAGACTGTACTTTCAACTGTGTGCTTGGAAAGTGGACGAGATTGCCTTTCATCAATAAAAGCCTCATGTTGTCAAGCACAACCGGCGCCAAAATGTTCATGAACGCTCAGACTCACCTGCATCAGTCAAGTTATACGCTCATAGCTATCTATCCATTTCCATCTTTTACACTCACATTTCTACAACACATTCTCCCCAAGCAAGCACCATGCTTCTCTATTTCACCGGGAGGGGCATTGGGAGGGATTGTTCCTTCTGGACTTGTTCAGGACTTGTTCAAAAGCTTTTAGGTGAATCTCTGTGTTGGAGGGCACTAAGGGACACAGGATTACAAAATTATCTTAATTTTTTTTTTGAAACCCCGGCTAAAGCTTGATATACATTATAATTACAACTTTTTTAGTTTGTGTAAAAAGGAAAAAAAGTGATAACAGCCTAACACTTTAGCTATGGAATACCTGGTTTTCCTTCTAAATACTCACTACAGGATAGAAAAAAATTTTAAGAAGTTTTAAATCATGATTTCCGGTTAAGACTCAGATATCTAAGGCAATAAAAGGAGGTCAACCGTCTCATTCTCATGATACAAAGAAAATTGAAAAAATACTTAATTCATGTTTAAACCAAGTTTTAAGACCAGGCATTTTTAAACAAGCCTGTTATCAACATCAGTTTTAAAAAAATGTTTTACAAGCAAATGTCCAACAGAAGGCAGCCTGTAAGTTAGACAACATATACTACAAACATCTCATTCAGTTAGAAAATGAGAATTTTGACTCACAAATTCAGTATTTTGATAAATCCTGATACCATTTGAGTCTACAGTTTCTTCTTTTACTTTACACTTCCCCACAACCAATCTTTAATTTGTACCAGAACATAGGAATCTATAAGAAAAAAATTCAAGTTTGGTCATTAGTTTTTTCAGAGATTAATTAGATGCATGAAAATTTTGTTCAATTCATCCCAACATGGACTTTAAAGACATAATATAAAAATTCTTGTTTCCTACCAAAGTGTGGTACACAAGATCTTAGAATTGTATTCTAATTCTCTACCTGTGTCAAGGCACGTTTGTTTTCCATTAGTTGTACTAACATTAAAAAAAAAAAATGAAAAGTACACAAATTTGAAAATATGGGGCAATTGTGATGTAACTTAATGTAAATTAAGTTTTGGAAACTAATGTAATTAACTTCATAACAAACAATTTAAATGGATTCCATATTCATAAATGTGTCCAAGCCCAGCCAATGTGCCACAGTGGTTGAGCATCAACCTCTGAACCAGGAGGTCATGGTTCGATTCCCAGTCAGGGCATATGCCTGGGTTGCGGGCTGAATCCCCAGTGTGGATCATGCAGGAGGCAGCCAATCAATGAGTCTCTCTGATCGATGTTTCTCTCTCTCCCTCTCCCTTCCTCTCTGAAATCAATAAAATTATCTTTTTTTTTTTAAGTGTCAAAAACAATTTTTTGTCAGTGAGAGAGGATGGTTTTAATCTAAAAACCTACTCTTAAGAGAGTAATGGGTAAATACAGTCCCACTAATTCACCTAAAAAGAGTTGAACTGTTTCTCTTCTGATCTGTGTCAACTATCCATGATAAAGACACCAAGACATCCTGGAAAACCAAAAATATATCGACCACCTAGATCAGCGGCTCTCAACCTGGGGGTCGAACGACCTTTTCACAGGGGTCACCTAAGACCATCGGAAAACACATATATAATTACATATTGTTTTTGTGATTAATCACTATGCTTTAATTATGTTCAATTTGTAACAATGAAATTGGGGGTCACCACAACATGAGGAACTGTATTAAAGGGTCGCGGCATTAGGAAGGTTGAGAACCACTGACCTTGATGATCTCTGACTTTAAACTTACTATTCTTTCATTTAAAATGGCGTAACATTAATTGCTAAAGCTTTCATTTTTTAATTCTACTCACTTTGCTGAATACAGTAATTGCACACAAACTATACATACAGAATATGAAGAGCCTATTAACTACTAAGTCAGAACTAGGCAAAATTAATGCAGCTTAGCTGATTTTGTTGTTTTTCTTTTGATTTTTTTCAGAATGGAGGGGAAGGAAAGAGGCAGAGAAACATCTATGTGTCTCTCTCAAATTGATTGGTTGCTTCCTGCACCTGTCCCGACGGGCCAGAGATCAAGCCTGCAACCAAGGTACATGCCCTTAACCAAAATGGAACCCACAACCCTTCAGTCCGCAGGCCAATGCTTTAACCACTGAGCCAAAGCGGCCAGGACAGCTAGCTGTTTTATTTTCTCCTAGCAATGCATGGATGACACCAGCCTAATGTTCTATTTCTGAATTCCCTATGAGGCATTTCAATAGCAATAATCCCAAAGCAAACCCTAAATTTCCCACACTTAAAAAAAAAGGGGGTCTTCATTGTCCCTGCAAATTCCCTATTGGAGGCCATCACCTGGCCCAAATCAAAACATCCTGAATCAAAATATTAACAACTTTTCTAGACATTTGCCAGTCTCTGCTATGAGTCCTTAACAAAAGTGAACTAATGCAGAACGATAAATTCAAAATTTAAAAGAAAGCTAATTTTAAATCCAAATTAAAGGTTTTTTAAAGTATTTCCAAATTCCAATTCTGTTGTTCTATATAAAGGATGTATATCTATCAAAGAATGTAAATGTGTATCTTTCCTTCCACAGAACCAGTATGAGTACAACCTCAGAGAGGTGGCAACTCAGTATTTTATAAATTAGAAACTCACCCATTAAAGTATAGTTGGTTTTAGTAACAGTTCCATATTCTTTGCCTGCAGTTCTTTATAGCTATAATCCTGTCTATTCTACTTAGTACTAATCTAAAATTACTATTTATAAATTTTCCCATCAAAACCACATCAGGACACACTATCAAACCATGAAAATGGACTTCAGACTAGTGAATTCTACTTTACTTCATCATTTAGGTATCTGGTTCTAATTCTATAAATGGGTTGAACAGATATTCTTTCCAAATGAAGTCAGCTTTCTGGCCTATAAATCCTAGAAAACTAAAAGGGGGGGAAAAACTCTGACACTAAATTTCGGAGAATTTCTAGAAATAATTTCATCTCTGGCTTTTACAGCTCTTACTTCACTTGGTTTCTCCCCTTGCTAGTCCTGTTTTAGCCATTTTACTCAGACCACTGCAGACCTGGCCCGCACCTCGTTTTCTCTCTGCAAGGGTAAAAATTACCCATTTTGTTATCTCCATACAAGTAAATGCTCATTTTAACAAGTGAAAGAAAAAAGGGGTTGCAATCACTCAATTCTACTCTATCTCCATCTGCAAATTTAACTGCTTAAGAAATTTCTATTTGAACAGAACATTACTATGCAACTACTGAATTAGTATTCAGAAAATCTTTAAAACTTGTTTCCCTATTGAAACTTCAGATGAAATGACCAGACTGCCAGTTCATAATGGCATGATTGGAGATCATGCACATTTGTGATTGTGCTTCAAGCCTTTCCTCAAAGGTATGGACTACATAAAATTCTTTTTGTACTCAACAAATAGACTATTTTCTTTCTTTTGCCTATGGCTTCTGAAACCAAATTTGGTTTATGCCACAAAAGCACATTTGCCAAAGCACTTGACTATATTAGCAATATCACTGTCAAAACCACCATGTTCGGATGAAACTCACCTGGGATCATTATATGAAGCCTTGGAATTACATATTTCAGGTGACTTTATGCTCCTTTGTTTAAATCTGAACCTTGGATACTCAAATTTTCAAAAATATCTGAACAGTTCGTTAATCTGAAACAAATACTCAGAAAATCTTGAGATACTTCCTGAAAACCCTTCAATCATGATGTGAACTTCTTTCAACCTGTTATCAAAAATAAATTGTAAATAGTTGTTTCTGTTTGCAGGAAAGAATATGTTCTATTCAAGTGAAACATCTTGTTTTTTCAATTGTGTGTTTATTATAATCAAAAAGCATTGACTGGGTTCCCCAGAAGAAATTCTACTTTCTTTTGCAGAAATCAGTATATAAATCATAGAAGTCCATAACCTTAAGGAAGCTAACATGAAAACTATTGATTTTAAATCTCCATTAATCTTTTCATTATTAATTCCATAGTAACTAAGGTATTTCAAATTGGATTACATAGAAATCCATGAAAAGTTGCTCTTTAAATATTTCAAGTTTCCCAAAGTGTCAAATTGACATATCAAATTTAAAAGTTAGACACAAAAAGTATGAAAGCAACATTACCTTGGGATAAACTTGCCTTCATAGGCAATCTGATATATTTTTCACTAACAATACAAAGCTAAAAATGGAAAATTAAAAAAATCAAATCTTAGGGACATATGGACCATGTAGAAAAACGATGAGCTAAGCTACCGGCCCCAAAAGCAATGATACCTGAGGCACTGGAGCCAGAAGAGACTGGTTGTAATTTCTCAAATATTTTTTTAAAAAATCAAGCACATGATGAAATATTAAGGCTAGAAATGAAAAAAATAAAACCCATACATTTAGGAGAAACTAGCAGAAGGGTCTCACATCTAGAAGCATATTAGACCTCTATACTACAATATTTCATTTTAAGATTATCATCTATGCTCAGATATTATATTCTCTGATAGGGCAAATAAGGAGTAAGTTTGATTTTTCACCTCCTCTACACAGTTACAAAGATTAATTTTCTACCATCTTGAAAATTTTCAAAGCTTTTTGAGAAACACACACAAATAATTTGGATTTAGTCGATTTTATTTACAGCTTGTTTTTTTACATTTCAGAGCATTACACAATTACATTTTCTCATTTTCTGACCTGCAAACAGATACCTTAAACGGAAATATTTTTTTAAGTTATCAAATTAGGTACATCCAAAAGGCAATAATTACACATATGACAATTCACAAAGTGTAATTCATCAGGACGTATCCTAAGAATTTAGGAACAGCCAGTCAGGAGTAATCTGACCAAATTTAGCAACCAACTATTTACATATCCAAAGATAAACAAACCTAGCTGAACTCCCAAACCAGAAGTTTGAAAGTTTTTGTTAAATCCTCATTGAACAAAGGAGAGAGATGATTCAAACCTAGCCAGCCTTGACAATCTTAATCCCAAACACTTGAGCTATTTCCCCAGTCTGAAACTGAATAGCAAGCATCTGTTTGTCAAACACCTAAATATCAAGCTCTTGCATCATTATGCACATAGAAAGGTTACGTGTTCATTAATTTAAAAACAAGTAGTCATTAAATATCCACACTATTTCCCCCAGCTCAGCAGCCCTTACTACAATCCCAAATATGCAACCTGTGTCACACAGTGACAGGCTAGATTCTATTTATATATAGTATGTATGTATATACACACACATATTTATGTGTATATATGCACACATACACACAGTACTGGGTACAAATGGCAATAGTCCCTGCAAAAATTCATTTTCAGTTGAGGCTATGGCTCCTGTGCCTTAGGGTGGTTTTAGACTTTAAAACTGAAAAATACTACTAAAATCTCACAACCTTAAGACAAAATTTGATTGTTTGTTCAGTTTAGCTTCTCAGTCTAAAAATGGCTATAAGGTAAGTTTTTATTTTAAAAAAAGCAGCCAATTGAGTTCAATTTCTCTCTCCAATTTGGCCAGGCTATTTTGCAGAAGTTCCTCCTAACTAGACTAGAAAAATCTGTGGTACCTTTCAATGGTTCTTGCCTACCTTACTGTCCGTGTTCACGTTTCAAATTGTGTCAACAGAGCCCGTACTTCCGGGGTCAGCTGCTTGGCAGCCTTAGCTGCCTCTGTGATAGCCTTGCGATACAGGCCCTTTCTCTTCTTATTAAAGCGTGACTGGAAGTTTTCTAAAAAGGGGGACAGTTGCGATAGAGCAAGGAAAGATGTTGTTGGAGACCCGAACCATGAAATACGGGCCTCCTGTCGAACTAAGAGGCCGTTATCTTTCCGACTCACAGTTATAGTAAGAATACGGGCTGGCCACCAAGGGAAGCCATATATCTTGGCCCAAACAATGTCCCCTACACATATGGTCCTGCCATCTGGTGTGACGCATTTAGAGACGTTTTTGGAAAAGACTTTCATTTTCAAGGAATTACTGAGCTTTTTCTCTTCCTTTGAAGAAGAGGATGTGGAGGAGGTGGAAGGTGCATGCATACTGCCTGGAGGAAAATCAAAGCTTTCAGAAGAACTACACTCAGAGTTGGAGGATTTCAAATCATCTGTGCTATCAATGCTACACACTGAAGCACTGGAAGAGTCAGATTTCTTTTGATTTAGGGTCATGTAAACAGAGATATTGCTTTTGCTGCCCTTTTTGCCCAGTGTCTGTGGTTCCTGCTCACCAGGCACAAGCACTTCATTTGTGTCCTGAACCTCACTGTTGGCCTCTTCAGGGCCTTTTGAGGGACTCTGATTTTCTGAAGGGGCCTCACCTGCTGAGCGGGTAGAGGTGCAACGCGACTGGGGCTTGGGTGCCAGCTTGCCACTCCGCATTTTCTCAAGTCCCGTCTTCAGAGAAGAGTCATTTTCTTCATTCCTGTACCTTTGTGGTTTTAAACGAACCCGGGGTGGAAGGGAACCTGAGCTAGGATTCTGATATCGACGTGTGAAATGGACTTTTGAATGTGCATTTCTGGATGCAGAGGTTTCACTTTGCTTCTTTTGTGCCTTTTCTTTGGCGATTTTCAACACTTCCCGAGCTTTTGCATGATCCATGTTCTTACTCTGGAGCACTTTTTTAGTACTTAACTGAGCTTTTGATGTATTCGCCTGAGCAGGAACTTTGACTACTCTACCTCTGCTGTGAGCAATATTTGAAACCTTAACCACAGCATTTCTTTTCTGGCTTTCATTTTGGTTTTTCCCATCCACTTTATGGTCAGCTTTCAGTTTTTTGTTCACAGTAGTTACGCTTTCATTTCTCCGTTTCCTATCTTCATATTTAGAAGAGTCACTTGCACTACTACCTTTTCTAATTTCTTTTTTTTCAGCAACAACACTGTTTTTACATTTGTCACACAGGACTTGCCTGGGTCGTAGTTTAATAGCATTCATTATTGAAGTAGATTCTTCCCTGTACATTTTTCGTTTGGGTCGCTTAATTTTCCGAGGAGGTGGCTGAGGTATCGATTGGTTATATGTGTCCCTGATAAACAAAGGGGGAGGGTAAGGTGCTCCTTCATGGAAGAGTGGTGGTGGTTTGGAAGTCCACAGGTTTTCAGCCAAGCTCGGCTCAGGTGGCGGGACAGGAGAAGGGTCGTCGGGAACAGCACCATTCACTTCACACTTGACTTCCGTCCCTTCTTGGAATGTATTACTTTGGAGCTGCATGGCTTCCGGTTTATCCTTATATTCCCTTTTGGGAAATACTGTCACAGGGATCCCGTGGGGCCCAAACCTTTGAAAGAAATGAAAGAAAAAGAAAGCCATTAAGTTAATGGCTATAATACAATTTCTTAAACAATACCTAATATTTACTCACATGACCTTTCCTGAAAATTATTTCACATTAAAGAACAAAAATAAAAAACCACTGACCACCTCCTGCCCCAAAATCCCAATGCCAGAATAGTTGAACTTATTTAGAATAGACCTTTCCAGTCTTGAATCAGAAAGGATACTAGATATCTTAGTATTAAGCATCTGACTTATGTTCACTCAAATATACATAACATGTCCAAGCAAATGCAATTATAAATTTGTAATATACTTATCTTCTTCTGGTTAGGATAGCTTTCAAAAGCTTCAGAAAACAAATTCAGCCTTAGCTACCCAAAAAATATTGAATCTGTAAAATCCCATTTCTACTTTATTAATCACTAAAGTTCAAAAATAGTTGCCCTTTTACTCTTAAGCCCTTCATCACACCACTTCCCTACAAAAATACTAAAAATTCAGTACCTCGAAAGCAGACAGATACAGAGCTGTGGATCCCTACCTTTTAAAAATCACATCGCACAGGGTGGGTCCCTAGCTGGTTTGGCTCGGTGGATAAAGTGTTGGCCTGCAGACTAAAGGGTCCCAGACTCGATTCCAGTCAAGGGCACATGTCTGGGTTGTAGGCTCAATCCCCAGTGGGGGGCATGCAGGAGGCAGCCAATCAATGGTTCTCTATCATCATTGATGTTTCTATCTCCCTCTCCCTCTCCTTTCCTCTCTGAAATCAATAAAAATATATTTAAAAAAATAAAAGAAGGTTGTTCTAGTAAAAAAAAAAATACAGGGTGGGGCAAAAGTAGGTTTATAGTTTTGAGTCCAGGAAAGTTTATTTTTATATTACTTATTAATTATTGAAAGAGTTTATTCTTACATATTTATTGTCTTTTCAATACTACTGTAAACCTTCTTTTGCCCCACCCTGTATTTTCACATCATAATCCAATAAAAATGCTTTAAATATAAATGTTTGCAACTATACCTACATAAATACACACACTCAAGTAAAAGTTTCACTGACTACTTAACCTTATGTGATACACAATAATTTTTTCTATTCTGATCTATTTTCATTTGTTTTCACGCTAGTCACACGCATCAAATGGATTTCAAAGCTTACAGGTCCAGACCCAGTTTGCAAAGCAGTGGCATGGAACACACATCTTTATACTACTCTCAATTTCTAATAAAACAGGGTCAATAGTCTTGTTTCTTATGTAGAATTAGAAATAACTGTGGCTTAATCTACCTGGGCTAACCATCAAGAACCTTTAAACTAAACTCGATACCCACAGATTCCTGCACATAAAAATAAAGTCACACTATCAAATATGTACATGTTAATTTTAAACACTATTTGAGTCAAACAGCATTAAACACAATCCTGTCTAATAAAGAGGGAATATGCTAATTGACCCTCAAGCCATCGCAAAGATGGCGGCACCCACAGCCAATAAGGAGGGAATATGCTAACTGACTGCCCCGCCCAGTACCCTCAGCCCCACCGGGGCAGCAGGTGTGCAGCAAGGCTCCAGAGTCCTCCAGTCCCCTCAGCTCCCCCAGCTGCCCAGGGCCGGCCCAAGGCGCAGGCAAGCGTCAGATGGTGGCTGCCCGGGGCTCAGGTAACCAGGGCTGGCCAAGGGTAGCGCTGCCAGCAGTGGCAGCAGCAGCAGAGGTGTGCCTTCCCCGATCATCGGGTCGCCTCCCGCCCCTGAGAGCTCCCGGACTGTGAGAGGGGGCAGGCCGGGCTGAGGGACACCCCCTCCAGTGCATTAATTTTCATGCACTGGGCGTCTAATACAATTATAATGCCAATCCTTTAAGGCAGAAATGCTTAGAAACCAAGGATTTGCTTCAGGTAGTCAGGCAGAACCAGACATTAGATGCAAATGTTTTATATATGTCTGTTTTCCTAGAGTCTTTGGTTCTCAGATTCTCCAAATCGTCCTTATGCCCCCCAAAAGGTTCAGAATACCTTTGCTGGGAAAACTTCTTGACATTAGTAACTCATTACTAGGCTGTAGACACTCCTAAAATCAGGCAAAAGAAAGAGCCAACATTACCAGGATATCTGGATCTAACATGTAAATAGTTTTCTTCCTAAAGTCTTTATTAGCTTGGCTACCACAAACCAACAACTTATAGCAAATACTTAGAAACCACAAAGGGAAGAAGACAGCCTTTTTTTTTTTAATCTAAGGTGGGGCAAGTTTGGGTCTGGGCCAGTCCACAAAGGACACCCTTCTCACTAAAATCAAACTTTGCAAAAAGTGGGTTTTTATTCTAGCATTGCAGCTGGTCCCTATTTGCTTCCTGACTACTTAACTGCAAGGCACTTTGAGCATTTAGCCTTTTCTAATATATAGGTACTCAATAACCAATTTTTCAAGATGCCAGGACAGAGGGGTTCAGTGGGGAGGCAGCAGCCCCACAGGCGCAAGCTCCTAAGAATGCACCCAGGGCCAGGTTCTTGAGGCAGCCTCTGGTGCAAGTGAAGGCCCTGGTTAAGGCAGACCCTGATGTGTCACTCAGGGGACAGAAAGCCATCTTCATTCTGGCACGTGCCACGGAACTGTTTGTAGAGACTATTGCTAAAGATGCCTACTGCTGTGCTCAACAAGGAAAACGCTCCAGAGGAGAGATTTGGATAATGCAATAGAAGCTGTGGATGAATTTGCTTTTCTGGAAGGTACTTTGGATTGACTACTGAGCTGGACACTTGTGAGCCTTTACTGCATCCTTCAGCTAGCCCTCTGTAGGCCTCAGCTTTGAAGGACAGAGTCCTTGGGAAGTCGCACATATATTTTCCTATTCTAACTTTACCTAAGCCAGAATAACCTGTTAGTTTTTCGCTATAAGGTTTTCCATGGCTGTGTCTTCCATTTCTGTCTGGATGCAACTGCTGCTGCTTGAGGCAGAGAAAAAGAAAATGATTTGTGTTGGTTGCTTAATGAATGACAGGGACCAGAATAAAGGTCTCTGATCAACTTAAAAAAATAAAAAGAAAATCACTATGAAAAAGAATCCTTACCTAAGAATCCTATGTAAAGGTGAAACAAATGTAAATGTGAAGTATTTAAGCCAGAATTCATGATGTGACTATTATAGGAAGAAGGATATTTTCTATTATCTGTGTTCCACTTGACATATGAATTTTACCGATGATTCTAGCTTTGATTAAATGAACCCTGTGTTTGCTCACGGATAAGCTTTACAAAATTATGGTACTTGGTCAGAGATTTCTAGCATTACCAATCAATCCTATACCTAAATAGGTATCCCTTCTTGGAGTGAAGCTCATAACCATCATCCAAATTCCAAAGGAATACCTCAAAGAAAACTAAAAATGTTACCAATTATTCAATTTTTTAAAAGCCAGACATATTGATAATTCCTACCTCTTATACTGAAACTTTTTTTTTAAATGCTGATATAGTGTTCATCAGCATTAACTTCACAGCAACATCAAGCAACTCATCTCTAACCTAGAGATGAGTTCTTTTCCTTCCTGTTTACAACAGTTTTATAGTACACATGATTCTAATTCTGATTGTTGCACACTCCAACTGCAGGAGATTCTTTTTAAAATATTATACACTGAAAATAAAGCAACAACAACAAAAAAGGCAGGCACACAAACAGAGGTCCTGGGGAATTCAATGCTCAGGGAAAAAAAGGTCAGGAGGGTCTTTGAGATATGCCTCAGTGTTCTGGCTGGACCAATAAAAGATCAACCTAAGACAAAAAGAAAACTCCCTCCCAAAATTCTTTTCCCTTAAAGAATTTATAGTAAGAAAAAAAAATTATATTCAATTAACTTAAAAACTAATATCCAGATTTATTTCAAGGATAATTCCTTAAATTAGCAAGATAAACCATGGAGGAAGGAAAACTAAAGCAAGCTTATTTTGGTTCACAGTTCATCTCTGTGACTGGTTATATCCAAGTTAACCTCAGCACAAATGAAATTCAATAGTCAGCCATATGCAATAGAAAATTTTACAAAATAAAAATGTAAATCTATACCAGTGATGGTGAACCTTTTGAGCTTCGCTTGTCAGCAATTTGAAAAACCCTTAACTTACATCTGGTGCCGTATCACATATAGAAATTTTTTGATATTTGCAACCATAGTAAAACAAAGATTTATTTTATTTTTTTTTTTAAATATATTTTATTGATTTTTTACAGGGAGGAAGGGAGAGGGATAGAGAGTTAGAAACATCAATGAGAGAGAAACATCGATCAGCTGCCTCCTGCACACCCCTCACTGGGGATGTGCAACCAAGGCACATGCCCTTGACCGGAATCGAACCTGGGACCTTTCAGTCCGCAGGCCAACGCTCTATCCACTGAGCCAAACTGGTTACGGCCAAAGATTTATATTTTTGATATTTATTTTATATATTTAAATGCCATTTAACAAAGAAAAATAAACCAAAAAAATGAGTTTCATAGGTTCGCCATCACTGATCTATACCCTCAAAAAATTAAAAATACAAGCCAGGACATCCACTCCTGGGTAAATATCCAAAATAATTGAAAACAAGGTCTCAAAGAGATATTTTGTACAACTAAGTTCATAGCAGCATTATTCCCAATAGCCAAAAAAGTAAAAACAGCCCAAGTCCTCACTGAGGGGACAAATAAACCAAATATGTATATAAATTTGCATTATTCATCCGTAAAGAGGAAATCCTGTCACATGATACAACATGGATGAACCTTGAGAACATTATGCTAAGTGAAATAAATCTGTCACAATAAAACAGATACTATATAATTCAACTTAACTGATCTAAAGTAGTCAAATTCCTAGAATGAGAAAAGTAGAATCATGGTTGCCAGGGGCTAGAGGGAGGAGGAAATGGGGAGCTGTTTAATGGGTATAGTTTTAGTTTTGCAAGTTGACAAAGTTCTGGAGATCTGTTTCACAACAATGTAAATGTGCTTAACATTTAT